CCAGGAACCTAGCTAGAAGCACAGGACAGGAAGTACAGGTTTAGACAAGATAGGGAAAGTCAGCATCTCCCTTTAGACAAGAAACATAGCAGATGAGCAGGTTTTTAATTCCTTGGGCCTTGAGGACAGGGCAAGTGGAGCAACTTCAATTATCCAAAGAAAGCTTGACTCCATCGGAGCAAAAGCCACTGGTCCCATACCCCACCCTTCCCAATATTGCCAATGAGTTTCCACGACCCACAACTGTGTCATTGGTTTAATATGACATGCATTCATTCCTAAATGCAATGTGACTTAAATAATTTTGTTCTGAGATTTTGAGTTAGTTGGTTGGAGACAGGGTCTTACTCTGTTGCCCAGGCTGGAGTGCAGTGGCATGACAGCACCACCACACCCAGCTAATTTTTAAAAAATATATTTTTTAGGCCGGGTGCAATAGTTCATGCCTGTAATTCCAGCACTTTGGAAGGCCGAGGCGGGTAGATCACCTGAGACCAGGAGTTCAAGACTAGCCTGGCCAACACGGTGAAACTCCATCTCTACTAAAAATACAAAAATTAGCCAGGCATGGTGGCGCACACCTGTGGTCCCAGCTACTTAGAAGGCTGAAGCAGGAGAATCACTTGAAGCCAGGAGGCAGAGGTTGCAGTGAGCTGAGATCATGCCACATCACTCCAGTCTGGGTGCCAGAGCGAGACTCCATCTGAAAAAAAAGTATTTGTTTTAGGTACGTTGTCTTGCCATGTTGCTCAGGATGGTCTCAGACTGGCTTCAAGCAATCCTCCTGCCTTGGTGCCAAAAGCACTAGGATTATCACACCCAGCCTGGGTTTGTTTTTTAGGACTTTTCGAACAGGCTTCAGATACCTTATAGAAGCCTCCCAGAGGCTATGTTCTCTATTTTTCTTTTTTAAGCAGTGATAGATGGCAAAACTAGAGGAACAATCAACTATGAAGACTGAGAAGCCTAGGAACAAAATTCAGTACTGATCAAGTAAAAGCTACTTCAGAGTTAATGACAGACGCCCAGCGATACATCGATACTGCACCAAGAGGCAATGGGCATGACAGAAATCAATCATCGCCCACCCCCACACCCGTGGGTGGGAAGGTGACCTCATTGCCCCCAAATACAAAATGGTCTCACCCACCTCCTACCTTCCTCTGATGCTGTTCACCCCTCCCCTGGCTCAGTACCCACTTGCCAGTCCTCCCAAGGTCTACTCTGCCTGTTGAAGGCTCTTCTGATCACCATCCTCCTCAATCCCCTAGGAATCACACGTTGAAAGAGTCACAGCCAAGAGTTAGGGAACCTCACCATAAGCCAATCCCAGTGCTAAGCCCCTTGCATGTATTAATTTGGTTAACTTAGCAAAAGTACTAAGTCATGCACACAATCTGTAGTAATATTATTATCATCTCATCACTGTGCCTCAGAACCCCTTGGCAAATCTTTAAATTATCCCTGAAGTATGCATTTGCCAGCTTGAAGGGCCCTGCCTTCCTACAATCTATGAAATTTGGGGGGGGGGTTGCAGGGGAGGACCCCAAATCACAAAATAAACCTAGTAGAACTACCTGGGCCATTGGTTCACTGGAAAGTTTGCTAGATGACGGAGTGTAAAGTTCCTGGCCAACCGGAGAAGCAGATATTAAAGTTTTAAAGCAAGAAATTGCTTCAATGGCATGCAAGTCACTTGCCCAGAACACAGGCCCTTGGGTGGGTGCACCGTGGGTGGAACAGAGACTGGAAGAGGAAGAGTGGAAGGGTGGTGGCCATTGAAGCCTCCCACGGAAGCCCCCTTTACGTACTCTCCCTCTTTGATGGCTGCTCTGAAGAGTCAGCCCCCAAAAGCAGGATTGCAGGACCCTCCTCTCAGAGCTCCAGACCAGATTCCTTTCAATCTACTTATCCAAGTTGAAGTTCTCACAGGCTAGTAAATGCAGTGAGCTTATTTGCAAGCCAGGGTCATATCTGCCTAGCAACCCAACACGAAGACTTGAAGGACTATAAACGTGGACAGAGAACAGGCAGGCCAACTTTGCACAAAGGAATCTGTTCTCATGCAAATGACCCTAAGCAAGAGGGCTAGAAGAGGGAGCCTTGGGGACAGCTCTGAAGAGCCAATTTTTTCCCCAGGAAGATGTCGGGGGGACTTCTTAAGGGCATCATGATGGCCTTGCCCACTGTAAAGGAAAGCGGCGGGGGGCGGGGGGGGGCTCTGCCTGCCACACAGGATCAGGCAGACACAACAGGAGAAGCTAAGAGGGGAGCCGAGCCCTTCACTTGATTTCCTGATTTTTCTGGTCTTGTACTCCAGACTCCAAAGGTTCTTTTGTTCTTATTTAGAACTAAACAGAGTTAGTTTTGTTTGGGGGCGAGGGGATGTTGATTAGCATGGCAATGCAGTGCTTTCTCTGGAGAAGTTAAAAAAGCAGGGGTTTTCATGCTTGGTCTCACTAGGATTGAGGGAGCAAGGTGAAGCCAGCCTCTAACTAGGGTGAGCAAAAGTCATGTTGCGTGACTTTTTTGTGACTAGCAAGGCTGTGCTTAGGTTGGATTTCCAGCCACCTCTCCATTATTCAAACACAGATGGCAAATGTCATCTTTGGATGAGCTCTGGTTGCAAAAAGCACTGGTGTGTATCTATAAACATGGTGTAAACCTTAGGTCAATCCCTCCAGTGCTCAGTGCCTCAACTTTCCTCATCTGTAAAATGGGAATAATGAGTGTCAACTACAGAAGGTTACTGATGAGGTTAAAATTGCATCACATGTATGGCACTTAATACAGTGCTGAGGGCAAAGCAAACAGTATCATGATTAATATTAATAAAATATAAGAATAGCAATACATTAGTAGGAACAAAAATCCATTATTATTACAATCATGCTCCCCAAAAGCCAGGTTTCACTTGCTCAAACATTCAGATATGATTTTTCCGATCATTTATTCACACCTAAGGCTTTAGGTATAATTTGCGTAATTTTTAAAATCAAGAGACTGAAGTACAGAGATTTTACATGACTTGTTTTGAGTCAGTTATAAATGGCAGCCCGCACCTTTAGGCTCCTAAGATGTACAGAATATGCTGTCATATGCTGTCGTGTTACACATGACATTTCCATCCTGAGTACAATAACAGGTCCTAAATATTAAAGTGTAAGATCCTAAATATCAAAGATCATCTTACAGGCAGCCCTGCATTAGCATGAAGTGTTCAAATCAGTTTCTAAATATCATTACATGTGGATTCTTTGAAGAACAACTCAAAAAAGGCTCTCTCACAGGGAGTGTGGAGTCAGCAATTAATTGGCGTTGGTAAAGCATAAATCATAACAGCAGCATGAGCTAATGGGTACTGAGGCCTTACCAAATGCAAGTCACTGCGATCCGCACCTGACAGTACCATAAATTAAACCCCCCAATTCTGGGAATACCACCTTCATCCCGATTTTATAGATATGGAGAAATGAACGCTCGATGAAGTTAAATTACGCTTACAAGGTTGCAAAGCTACTCAGCGGCCCCCTGGCTGTACAGCACTGGCCGTACCGGGCACCCTGTACCAGCGAATCTTCCCACTTACACAACCAGAGCTTGTCAACAGCAAAGGATGGCATTTAACCCAGGAGAGCCTATCCCAAAATGGTGAGAGAAAATGAGCAAGCAAGGAAGGATTTTTATTAAAATTCAGATCGCCGACTCCTCCCGGTGGCGACCCTCCGTGCACACACTCCCAAACTCTGCTCTCTTGAGTTTCTGACATCAGAATCACATTCTCCGAACCCCAATGAAGGCAGCAGCCGGTGCCAAAGTCTGCAGAGGAAGGCGAATAACATGGCCTTTGCTTCCGAGCAGTTTCCAAATTTGCCCTCGGGATGTGAGAAGCTAAGTTTGCGCCCCCGCAGGCTCTGAAATGTCTAGGATCTGACACATGCTTTGTCCCCATGAGGAGCTCCTAACTGAGGTTTCGCGTGCATCATCGGCTTAGTTCACAGTGACCTTGGGGTCGGGGACTTCGGGATGAGGGGCGCGCACTCTCTAATCCTTCAGGCCCTCCACAGAAGGCTCCCCGCGGGTGTGGGAGCCGTGCACCTGTGCCGACGCCGCCTCTGCCTGGAGGGTGCGCGCGCCCCGGGCCGGGGATGCTGACTCAGCCCGGCTGCTCACATTCCTTTCGCGCAACGCGGATGCTGTTGCCGCCGCCGCTGCCGGTGCAGCAAACACCGGGACGCGAGGCACCCGCAGCGGCCTGGCCGCTCTCTCCCTGAGGCCCACTGCGGCACTCCCTCCCCACCGCCGGAAGGGGAACTGTGGGGGTGCGCGAGTTGACGAAATTGGGGGAAGTGGGCGCTGCAGGAGGAACTCAGGCGCCGCGCTCGCCGCTCACACCCAAACTGGAAGGAACCTGTTCTGCCCGGGGCGGGCGCGGAGCCGCCGCAGCCGCGAGCGCCGCGCGGGACCAGCCTCGGCGCGCGCGTTCCCCAACCCCGCTAAATCCCTAAATCCTCAGGGCGCGGACTGGACTGGGCGGTGGGCTCACCGGGAAGGCGCCCAGGGTTGGGAAGGGGTACCGGCGTGCGGGAGCCTGGCCGTGGGGCTCCGAGATAGGGTGCAGGCGCCCCCAACGCCCCTGCACACTCGCGCTCCTACTAGCGTTGCAGCAAAGCTCCGGGGTCTGGGCGGGTCACGCGCGCACAGGCGCGCCCGGGTTGGGAGATCCAGGCGTTGTGCCAAGGACCCCGGCGGTGCTGGCGGGGGCAGCCCGGCCGCGGACCGCGACGCGGTTACCTTTCGTGACCCCCAGCCCAGGCGGCAGGCGGGCGGGCGCGCGCCCGGCGCGGCCCGGGTCCACGTGGGCCGGCGCGCGCGCGCCAGGCCGGCCCCCTCCTTGGCTGCGCTCGGCGCTCGCAGCACATGGTCCGCGGCGGCGCGCCCCCGAGGCCGGCGGAGACCGGCTGCAGCCGGTATAGGATAAGAGCTAGGCAGCGACGCGGGGCCGGGGCGCGGGCGGCAGCACGCACGGCCTGGGGCGCAGGCGGCCGGGGTGGGGGGCGGGGGGAGGGTGTGGCTCGGGCGCCCGAGTCGCGGGAGTGGGTGGAGGGCCCGGGCGCTCCGGCCTCGCCAGCCGGAGCCAACTTGCGCTAGAGTCGGGGCCGCCCCCTAAGGGGTTAATCCTTTTCTCATGTTACCGAGCGGCTTATAAGGAGGGGGAGGCCAAGCCTCCGCCTTATTGGGAGCCTTTTGGGGTTTATTCTCTTCCCTTCTAACTTGGTGAGTTGGTTTATTATTTTACATGTTTAAAAGTTTGATTGTGGGGTGTGGGTTGTTTTTTTAAAAATATGTGTTGGGGCCTTTTTTGGGGATGGGAGGCGGAGGAGACCATTGAACATCTTCACATTTTGGAGAGGTTATTCCCAAAAATATTCGCTCTGACAGTTAGGAATGCCCAGGGCCACCGGGATGACGCGCTCTCGCCGGTGTGGGTAGCTGAGAGTTGAATGTCCGTGACCCTGGTACAGTTGGGTCCCGGAGGATACCTAAAGGCACGCATGGCCTTTGAGTGCCCCCCGCCCTGGGTTGGGGGCTCCGGGACGTCGGGCGAGTCGGGGGCTCCGGGCTCAGCCCCTCCGCGAATTTTCCGCATGAAGTTGCCTGCGCGTCGCAGGAGCGAAATGTCAGAGGTACCTTCCTTCCCCAGGCTGGCGCGCGCACGCAGGGCGGCCACTGAGGTAGCGCGAGGGAAAGTGGGGCTCCCTGCCTCCCACGACCCCCAAACACAGCAATCCCTGGGGCGGCCACCGTTTGCCCCCTTGATGGAAGGCAGGGATTTCCCGGCAGAGCGCGGGTCCTCCACCTGGACGGTCACAACTGTCAGTGGCTGACGGCTGGTCCCGCGCAACTTCAAGGTTCCCCGGGCTGCAAACCGCGGGGAAGCGCTGATGTCGCCGAGCAGTTCTGTAGCAAGGGAAGATGGTTTTGCAGAGGAAATGGGTTATTTCCTTCCAGGTTGTTGTCGTCTTTTTATTCCCCCAACCCTAGCAAGACAGGTCATAGAAGTTTGTTAGGTGGCGTCTACAAAATGTCAGCAAGCACGGGGGGCGTCAGTCTTAGGAAAAGCTCCCCGGAGCCAACTGGGGAAGAGCAATTTCAACTTGTCAACCTGGAAGCCTGTTTTGTTTGCACGGTTAGACACTTCGTGCCAGCTCCTTCTCGAAGGAGATGGTTTCTACACTGGCAATGAGATTTCTCAGTGATCTGATTGTTTTTGCAAATCATGGTAAGGTAGGTGTCTTGTTTGTAAAAAAAAAAAAAAAAAAAAAAAAAAAAAAAAAAATGCCAAGTGCCTATGCTGAAATCTAAACGATGCATCGCCCCATGTCCCAAGCACCGTTACGTGGCATTTTTGGCGTCAGCAATACATTCAGTCAGATGATATAATAGAAACACCTCTTCTCATAAGGAAAGGAAGGGTGTCCAAGATAGGAACTTGCAGTATGTAAATAAACAATGCAGCCAAGTGGAAAAGCTCCTTCCAGCTTAATGAGTACCCCTAACCCTGAGTTTTCCTTCTGTGGTTTCCAAAAAGGGACTTTCCTCAGTGGAACTCCTGAGGAGGACACTTAAATTAGGGTTTCAGGTTTCAACATCATAGTCTTATAAAATGGTGACTTGGTTGTAGCCAGTGATTCAACATCGTGACGCAGCCATCCAGGTTAGGTTGGGAATTTTTTTTAAATAGAGGATGCAAATGAACTTTAGCTGAATACAGACTGGTTTTGACAACTTGGGCCAGAAACAACTTGTCAAAGCCGTTCTCAAGGCTATGCCTTTAAGAGGAAAAGAAATCCACAGTGCGTTCGCTGGGGGTCTGCCTACACCAGTAGCCATCCCATTTCCTTCCAGAGCTTGCATTTTGAACCTTGCTCTGAACTGACCCTAGAATAACACTCTGACAGTCTACAATAATCCAATTTTTTCATGCCCTCAGGCCAAATCTTCTCTCAAATTAAATCACAGTGAAATTCCCAAGGATAGCAGATTTCCAAGCCTTTGGCAAGATACCCACTTATTTATTTGTTTAGAGGCAGGGTCTCACTCCCATCATGGGAGTGCAGTAGTGTGATCACTGCTGACTGCAGCATCAACCTCCTGGGGTCAAGCAATCTTCCCACCTCATTTTTTCACTTTTTTGTAGAGATAGGGTCACTATGTTCCCGGGGTTGCTCTCAAACTCCTGGGCTTAAGCAATCCGCCTGCCTCGGCCTCCCTAATTGCTGGGATTACAGGCATGAGCTACCACACCCGGCCAATACCCATTTAGTTAAGGGGACACTTAACCACATGCTACTAGGAAATCCTCCAAACTGCCTGGATTTTGTCATTGTACTTCCTCCAGAAGAACACTAGGGTGAAGGGAAGATGGCTGCCAGGAGCCCCCATTCAGAATTGTAGAGTTTTATAAGTTGTAAAAGGCTTGAGAGACTGCCCGGACAACCCGTGCTTTATAGATGATAGAAGTGCGGGATTCGGTGGTCTCCATAACATTGTACAGCCAGTTAATGGTAAACAGAAATGAACAAATATGGCCTAAGAGCTTTAAGAAGACCAGCCCTTGGGCCTTGCCTTCAAAGGGCTTAGAAGGATTAAAGCAAGTGAGGGTCAAAGGCTATCATAGAAGTATAGGCTCTTAAGGCAGGAAGAGATCTAAGTTTGTCAGAGTCTAGTTCAACTCCCTTTTTTACATTTACCTTGATTTTACATTGACATTGAAAATGGAGAAGCGATCTGCCCAGATTCCATCATCTGTAAAGCAGGGGTCGACTGGCAGGATAACTCAGCTTGTCTCACCAGTTAGATCCCCACACAGCTGAAAAATATCCCTACCCAGGAGGGATAAATTCACATGGCCACAGAACCAAAGTGGACAGATAAATTTTCATATCCTGGAACTTAGAGGCTTCTACATAAACGAGTTCAAAATTCAGGCCTCAGTTGCTTTGTTTGCAGAAGTAGACAGTTTGGCCTTCTGCTGAAGGAATGGAAAAAAAAAAGAAAGGAGTCCAGGAAGGGGCTTATTCTGCAACCAAGCACTTCCTCCCCTTATGACTCAGTTTTATAAGGCATGAGTATCTGTGCATTACTTTAGGTACTCCTAAATACCAACAGTTTCCCCAAAACTCATACTTTGTTTAGTGAACTTTTATTGAGCACATACTATGTGCCAAGTGCTGAGCCAGAGACTGGGTCGGGAAAGAGCTGATAACTGCCCTGTAAGTACCTTCTCTGTGCAATCCTAAATGCAAAATGCAGACCTTAATCACATAGGAAGGTTTAGAAACTAGGTTATCCTGTTATTATTTTATATTGTGGTCTTATCTTAAAAGCTAAATATGATAGGACATAGAATGCTTTCGGATAATAAAGGCATAAACCTTGGGGTAGGGCTGGGTTCAGGGTCTTTCCTTGATGGAGATCTGAGTTATAAAAAGAAAGCTTCTGTCCAAAAATTCAAGAATGCATGTAAAAGTTATATGTGGCTCTGGCTAGAGCAGAATAGCACAGACATAAAGCAGAGTTTAAAAAAAAAAAAAAAGCAAAGGAATTAACTACCCACCAGGGGCTCAGAAAGGAAACAGAAAGAAAAATAAACAGTCCACCGTCTGGCCAGGCGAGGTGGCTCACACCTTTAATCCCATCACTTTGGCAGGCCGAGGCAGGAGAATCGATTGAGCCCAGGAGTTCAAGACCCGCTGAAGCAACATAGGGAGACCCTATCTCTATTTAAAAAGAAGAAAGAGGCTGGGTGCGGAGGCTCACACCTGTAATCCCAGCACATCAAGAGGCTGAGGCAGGTGGGTCACTTGAAGGTCGGGAGTTCGAGACCAGCCTGACCAATATGGAGAAGCCCCATCTCTACTAAAAATACAAAATTAGCTGGGCGCGGTGGTGCATGCCTGTAATCCCAGCTACTTGGGAAGCTGAGGCAGGAGAATCACTTGAATCTGGGATGTGAAGGTTGCAGTGAGCCAAAATCACACCACTGCACTCCAGCCTGGGCAACAAGAATGAAACTTGAAAGAAAGAAAGAGGAGAGAGAGGGAAAGAGAGAGAGAGAGAGAGAGAGAGAATGCCGGCATGGCGGCGGGTGCCTATAATCTCTATTTTTTAAAAAAAGTACGTATTTTTAAAAAATAAATCTTTATTTATTTAAAAATCTCGGGAGGCTGAAGCAGGATCACTTGAGCCCAGGAGGCGGAGGTTCGCAGTGAGCCAAGATCGTGCCATTGTACTCCAGCCTGGGCAACAAGAGCAAAACCCTGTCTCAAAAAACAAAAACAGAATACAAAAAGAAAAAGAAAAGTCCACCATCTTCGAAGCAGCTATCATAGAATAGAGCTAAGCAATGACCAGCTAGCTACTTCACACCTATGTTTGCAAGAACCAACTAACGTTTACACTTTCTCCTAGCTCCGTTTCCTTGGGCCACCAGGGTTCACCTGAGCCATCAGTTGATTAATAGAATTCAGTACTAAATGCAAAAGTATCAGCTGTTAAGGGTGATTTGCCAGGCCAGCCTCCCATTTGACTAATGAGAAACTCAGCCCAGAGAGGTGAAGTGACTTTCTCAAGGTCACACAGGTAAATGGCAAAACAGTTCACAGACTTCTTTACACACGGAGGTCAAGTGAGCTTTTCTCTTCGGGGAAAAAAAAATGTTGCTTCACAATCACTATGTGAAACGCTTCCTTCTCTGGCTTTTTTTTTTTTGAGATGGATTCTTGCCCTTGTTGCCCAGGTTGGAGTGCAGTGGGGCAATCTTGGCTCACTGCTACCTCTAGCTCCTGGATTCATGCGATTCTCCTACCTCAGCCTCCCAAGTAGCTAGGGTTATGGGTGCCTGCCACCACGCCCAGCTAGATTTTTTGAATTTGTAGTAGAGATGGGGTTTCGCCATGTTGGCCAGGCTGGTCTCCAACTCTTGACCTCAAGTGATCTGCCCATCAGCCTCCCAAGTGCTGGGATTACGGGCATGAGCCACTGCACCCAGCCTGGAGAGCATTTTAAATGCCAGGGAGGGGCCAGGCACTATGTCTCTACTAAAAATACAAAAATTAGCCAGGCATGGTGGTGGGTGCCTGTAATTCCAGCTTCTCAAGAGGCTGAGGCAGGAGAATTGCTTGAACCTGGGAGGCAGAGGTTACAGTGAGCCGAGATCACACCACTGCACTCCAGCCTGGGTGAGAGTGCAAGACTCCATCTCAAAATAAAAT